TAATCTGAGGATGATCATTCTCAAAGAAGTAGAATATTCGATAAAAGCTCTGGGAGAAGTTTGAAAAAAAAAAAGTAACAACTCAAAATGGTTGAACATCTTGTGAGTTGAACATGACCCAAGGTATCAAATGAAAAAAATTTTCTGCAGGCTTTAACCTACACAGCAATTAAAAATATTATAAATTCATTGTGCTCCTTATTAGTGTCATAAGCCTTTGTGTCTTCATTCTTCATTGATCAAAATTGCAAACAAAGCACTTCTCTAACATTAAACTTTAAACCCCCTAACATGCTATAAGCTTCAATGTCCGCAGTGATACACAATGACGAGCTGCAGACGTGCCCTTTTGAAAACAACAGCGTTTGAGTGCTGTAGAACAGCTTGAGTCAACCTCCCAGCGCTTCTAGTCACATATTCACAGATAACACTCATTACTCATGCAGAGATTCCGAATCAGTCTGCGGGGAATATGTGCTAAACTAATTCTGACTCACAGAGCTCAAGAAATTTCTATACAAAAAAATAAAACATTAAAAAGTAGTGGAAAAAAATAATTTCAAAATGTTCAGATGCACACTTCCTAAATGCAGTCCTCGTGGTCGAATCCATTGATGTATTACATGCAAACAGTTTGGTTAAAGAAAAAAAAAAAAAGACTGACTTGGTTACTACCTGAACCAAGGTAGGCAATCCAATGAAAAAGTCTGATAAAAATACATTTTTTGACAAAATTCAAACTGGCAACATCCAACCATGTGAAAACTTGGTATATAGCGCTTCTAGTCACATATTCACAGATAACACTCATTACTCATGCAGAGATTCCGAATCAGTCTGCGGGGAATATGTGCTAAACTAATTCTGACTCACAGAGCTCAAAGAGAACATGTCATAAATAAGTAAATGTCTGTTCTCTCGCTCTCTACAGACAGCGGGACCCACCTGTACTCTTCCTCGGTGAAGATGGGAATCCTGGAGGGCTGAAGCACAGTGATTTCCACTGTAGTTCTGTTCGTCTTCATCGGCTCTCCATCGTCATAGGCGATGACCACCAGCTACGAGATGAGATAATGAAAAATACATTAAAAAGCAGTGCATATAGGCAATGACTTGTGTCGGAATTTGAATTTATTCATTTAATGTGGGGCATAAAGTAAAATGTCTAGGAATAAGACGTAGTGGAGCTTAGATATACAGTATTAACTTCAAAAACGTTTGTCTGTCACATCATTTCTAAAGTCGTAGAGCCAGATTTCTTTTTAAATCACATATTTTGTCTTTTTCATGACATGGTTAGTGCAGTTTTTTAAATGTAAATGTAAGAAAACTTACTGATACTCATTTAAAATTCCATGGTATTTGAAAACATTTTTTTCTTTGAAAAAGTTGGATACACTCATTTGTATTCAAGGTAAAAGGAAAATATGTCTTCACTTTTCACTTGATGGTTAAACCACTAGACATTTCTAAAATACATTTAATCCATTTTATGCCTCAAAAAAGCTATAACCATTCAAAAAATGAATGTTTGAAACCAACATGAATTCAAAATTAATTGGCGCAAATTTTCCCAATCTCGGACATCATTATTTGTCCCTGAACTAGTTTTTGTTGTAAATATGAATATATTTTACAGACAGACAAACACAGGTACTTTTTGCTCAGGTACTTAATAGCAGCACAAAGTATATGCAGAGGACACATACTGCATTTGTCCCTTCCAAAGCAAGTCTTAAAAATATATCGTAAGAAGTGAATGTTATTGATTAAAATGACATGTCAGCCCTCATTCTCAAACCCAGTCATTCTAGCACAGACAAAACAACATCTGTGCTAGAACAACATTCTAGCACAGAAAAAACAACAATTTACCTTTTGCATTTATGCAAAAGGTAAATTGATTTGAGCTCAATTAACATTAGGCTAATTAATTTATACATTGATTTAGGTCATAGCAGAGGAGACAGTAACTAAAGCGTACAACTAATGCTCTCCCCTCTTTTTAATAAGTTACAGACTCTGAAGTAAACCTCTCTGATTAGTTTTAACTTTTCAAGTTTGTTTTGAGCTTTTCTATCAAGTAGTAGCACAATATGCTGTTTTAGTTAACAACAGTTCTTCTCTTATGATTATTAATAGAACTTTATGACATAAACAGCTACATCTGTTGCTTACCAGGCATGCATATGCATAATTGGGCACATTACATGAGATGCATGCTGGTTATTTATTGGTGGCCATCTGACAAACCATTTCCATTTCTGACGATCTTAAAGGGATAGTTCACCCAAAAATGAAAATTCTGTCATTAATTACTCACCCTCGTGTTGTTCCAAACCCGTAAGACCTTCGTTCATCTTCGGAACACAAATTACGATATTTTTGATTAAATCAGAGGGCTCTCTGACTCTCTCATAGACAGCAAGGGAACTACCACGTTCAAGGTCCAGAAAAGTACCAAGATGATCGACAAATGGCGCTTTTCCGCTGCGTGGTACGACTCGGCAAAAAACCCCCCAAAAGTGAACCGTACCGAGCCGTACCGTGCCGTACCGTACCATGCAGTGGAAAAGCGCCAAAAGTAGTCCATGTGACATCAGTGGTTCAACTGTAATGTTACGACGTTGCCTTGTTTACACTCGGGCCCAGTAGCGCCATACGTATGTGTTCAACGTCATCACGCCGTGTCATGGTACTGCCATGAACGCGCGTCCACAAGTGAAGCAGTAGAGACAAAAATGTGGAACAAAGTCGTCATTTTTGTTTTCTTTGCACAAAAAAGTATTCTCGTAGCTTCGTAACATTACAGTTGAACCACTGATGTCACACGTACTACTTTGTCGAGGCATCTTGGTACTTTTCTGGACCTTGAATGTGGTAGTTCCCGAGCCGTACCGTGCCGTACCGTACCATGCAGTGGAAAAGCGCCAAAAGTAGTCCATGTGACATCAGTGGTTCAACTGTAATGTTACGACGTTGCCTTGTTTACACTGCTGTCTATGAGAGGGTCAGAGAGCCCTCAGATTTCATCAAAAATATCTTAATTTGTGTTCTGAAGACGAACGAAGGTCTTACGGGTTTGGAAAAACACTAGGGTGAGTAATTAATGACAGAATTTTCATTTTTGGGTGAACTAAAGCCAATTCACACTGCACCGACAGACACAGACCAATGCCAACGGCCAACCGATTATAGTCTGCCACTTCCCAGACATTCTAAGACCCGACAAACGGCGATTCAACATGTTCAATCGGCGAAAACAAATGCAGAACAGTAACAGATGCCGACAGGGTTAACACTGATCTGACAAAACCCAACAAACCTGTCTGTTGCTGTTAGTCTGCGTCTGTCGGTGCAGTGTGAATTGGCCTTTAAAACATTAGTAGGAAAAATCTTAACCTGACTTCAGCTCAGCAAAACCTTGGATTTCAATATCAACATGAATGCAGTAAACTTCACAAAAAGGTTAGAATTAAAAATAATTTTTGTAAAGGTTAATGCTAACCTTTTTGTAAATTTAAAATGAACAATATTTAATTATTATAATAATTCTCAATTAAATGTAATTTTAAAACAACATTTATCAATTTAGGTTAATGTAAGTTAAAAAATCATGTTCATTGCTAACTTGAGTTCATTCATAATACATTAAATAATGTTAATTTATACTTGAAATCTATAATGTATTATGAATGAACATTAATTAGCAATGAACAATGGTATATTGTTAAAAATGTATATGTAGACATGTTGTTAAAGTAGGCTACTGGTCATTTTTAGTTATTGATATCAAATGAAAGCCTAATGAATCTTAAAGTATAAGCATAAAAGTCTACAGGTTTTACTTATTAGTCAATTTTAGCATGTCCAAAAATCAGATGTATCCAAGTCATTTCATTCTCCATACTGCTTTCCTTTTACAAACAGTCGTGAATTAAAACAAACTTTAACTCTGCTGGATTTGAACTCACGCACAACGGCCTGTCGGCTCAGACGGCCTGTCGGCTCAGACTCACCCTGAAGACGGCATTGGGCTGCTCGTTCAGGTTGACTTTGGTGATAACTCGTCCTGTGTCCGTCTCCACATCAAAGATACGTCCGCTGTACGGAGACAGATCCTGATCCACTTTGTAGCGCACTTTACTGGCAGGCGTACCCTGAGGGAGGAACACGGTTAGTATCCACACATACCTAGAGCACATCTACTTAGTTTAAAGGACCAAAGTTGGTGTTTTATTATATTTAACTCTATGCATCACATTATAGATAATTACAGACTTCTATTGTTATCACTGCTTCAAAAGGGGTTTCATTATATATTCTTTCCATGCCATCAAATCATAATCATTTGCAACAATCAAGCTGCTATTTTCCACACAACAAAAGACAGAAATCAGTGGCTCTCAAGCTCCAAAAAGGCAAATAAAAGCCCTTATTTGCCTTTTAAGTATTTAGGTTTTTCAATGTCTTGTGTGAGGGACACACTGAAAGAGTCATTATTCATTGAAAATTACACATCACTACAATAGTTTGCAATCAGTAAGATTTCTTTTTTTGGAGGAATATAATATTTTTATTCAGCAAGGACACATTAAATTAATCGAAAATGACAGTAAAACTTTATATTCATCAAATAATCTTGAAAAAATGTAACAAAAATATTAAACAGCACAATTGTTTTCAACATTGATATACTGTAAGATTTTTTTAAGCAGCAAATCAGCATATTAGAATGATTTCTGAAGAATTATGTGACACTGAAGACTGGAGTGATGGTGCTGAAAATTCAGCTTTGCATCACAGGAATACATTACATTTAAAATATATTAAAATAGACTATTTTAATTGTAATAATATTTCACAATATTACTGTTTTTACTGTATTTTTGATTAAACAAATGCAGCTTTGGTGAGCAGAACAGATCTTGTTTAAAAACATTTTAACAACCTCAAACGGTGTTGCTCAAAATGTATGTTTCTGATGCATTTATGATGGTCTTCTTTGGAGTTTGACAGCCTACGGTTGAAAATAGGGAAAAGAACAGCTTGGACATTCTGCAAAACATCTCCTTTAGGTTTAGAATAATATGAGGGTGAATCAATAATGACAGAATTTTTTATTTTTGAGTGAACTATTCTTTTAAAGGATTGACTTTTCTTTGAATAGCTGGTTTGAGCTTCCTCAAAGGTCTCTCGGGCATCGTGTTTTGTAGAGCTACAGCGAGCTCCGTCTGCTGCACCTCATTCTACTGATACTTTACAGCTCTTCCGTCTGGCTGCGTCATAAATGTTTGATGCTTTGTGCTGTGGTAAACATACAAAGTCATTTATACTGCAGTAGAAAGAGACAGAAACAACATCACATTTACATCTCTGACAGCCAAGAAATTAGTTTCTAGTTTTTTTTTTGGTCCATGTCACAATTTTTCTATGGGTTATTATCTGCGTCATATTTCTTTGGCACCCCCCATGTTTTCAAAGCATTATTTAAAGAAGAAATGCATAATTTAACAGCTTCTGTGGCAGGCCATGAAAATAAACAGCACTGTAGTCTGTTTGACGGCAGACAGCATGAACAGGAAGAGTAAAACAGACAGATTTACCTCACCCGACCACATTAATCTCTGCTAAGACGATCACACCACTACGTTTAGGGAAAGTAAAGTTAAATCCGATGACCTGACATTACTGTATCACTCGCTGCTGTCCTGGTTCTCATGTGTAAAATCCAGCCATGATGCCAAATAAGAACATCAAATGCAGGCAAAATCTGCTATAATGAATGTAGCAGAGAAGTTATCTGATTCTTAGTCATTAAAACACAACACCGCACAAGCTTTGGAAGCACAGATAACCTGACTTTATGCTAATAGTCATAATATTATCTTTATATGAAAAGATACAGTAGTCTTGATGCAGTACTATGATAAAAAGTATCATTAAATGCACTATTAAAGTATGCTGTATTATAAATACAATCATGGCTAAAGGCCATCGCAACCCTTTCAGCCATTACAATATTCACAGTGCCACACGGCCCTGAGGGATTCACTGTTTTGATAAAACATTAACTACTTAATACAATTTTTTAATAGAAACATTATTTCATTACGCAAAATCAAGCGCCATCAACTATAAAATATAGTCTCTGACATAAAAACAACAACAGAACATGCTCTCTATAAGTGCTGAGTAGTTAAATCTTTTATATAAAATCTTAAATTGTCTACATTTCTTCAACAAATATTGATATAAAATCAAATGCAATTAATTTGATTAATTAAAATATCAATGATATGGAAAGATAATAAATAACATGTTGAGTTCTGCAGTCATTTTTTGTGTATTCACACACACACACACACACAATCTTTTATATAAAATCTTAAATTTTCTACATTTCTTCTACAGATATTGATATATGACATTAAATGCTATTAAGTTAATTAATTAAACAAAATATCAAGTAAAAAACAAAAACAAATTATATACAGTACATAGACACTACCAGTCGAAAGTTGGAATAATTAAGAAATCTCTTATGTTGTGTTTACAGTATTTGATACATTATACACTGTAATATTGCGAAATATTATCAGCATTTAAAGTAACTCTTCTATTTTAAATTCTAATTTCTAATTAATCAATGTTGAAAACAATTTTTGCTGCTTAATACTTTTGTGGAAACGGCATCACTCCATATTTGTGTAAGATTTGAAAAAACCAAAATAAATAAAAATAAATAAAACATTTTAGAATATATTTGTCACCCTTTCAGTTGCCATGGACCTTGGGCCCGTTCTTCGTACGTCGCTTATTACATCCGAGATGAAATGTCACATCCAAGATGATATCATCGCGCTAATCAGGATCTGGCTAATTTGGTTCTTCGAACGCACCTGTTGTTGATGATTAGTATGGCTGGATTGAGTTATCTGAGATAATTGCGCGTTCATGGGTTGGTTTAAAAGGGGTTATGTATCGATATTCAAAACCACGATCAGCAATGTAGCGATTGGCTGGTGGCAAGACAGCAACGTAATGACATCATATAATTAAAAAAGACACCTGACGAAAAACTTGACACATTTTTGGACTTTTATAAAGAAACCCTATTATTAGTAGGGTACTCTTGTAATAAAGTAGCGGTGGTAGAGGACAGATTTTGAGTATCAATTCTGTTTAAAAAGATGCGATCTAACCATGTTTACATGAAATAAGCCTGCTCCCGAGCAGGATTAAGCTTACGGATCTGTTGCTATGACAGCAACTCCGGGATGAGCTTCGAAGAACCAAACAATCCAAGATCATGCCAAATCATCAACAATCAAATCCAGCTAACTGAGTTATGCCGAGTTCACACTGCATCCCTCAGATCGTGTCTTTGATAATTCACACTGCGCGATTGTCACTCGCGTGAACGAGCACCGATTTGCCTCCGATTTCGGGCATTTGTCAGCGATTTCGCAAAACCTGTCGGCGAGTGAAAAATCAGGCTAAAATCGTGCAGTGTGAACTCGGCATTAGCGACATATGAAGAACGGGCCCCATGTTTCTGTCTTTTGTTTTGGTTTAGTTCCTGTGTGCCCTTATTTGGTTATGTTCCTGGTCTCGTTCAGTCTTGATTAGTTTACCTCCTTCACCTGTGTCTAGTTAATTATCCTCGGTTGTTTATGCATTTAAGTTGCTCCCACACAAGCCGGGTTTCCATCCAAAGTTGCAAATTTAACTTGTGCGCAAAATTGGAATATCGCATAAAACATTTGCGAACAAGCACTGTTTCCATCCAACGAGTCAGAGAGAACAAAATCGTCACTTCCTGATAAACTGGCACTACATATTACTAAGAAAAATATGAGAAGCCACTGAATATAATAATTCTCAAATATAATAAACTACTTGCGCTTTGAGTGAGCAGACGAAACACAATAAATGCGGTCTTGCTTTCGGAGGTGAATGTAAACTGTTTGGGAACGCAGTCGTGGTAGACCGTTCTGGGAGGCAGTTATACAGAAATACTTTGACGACAGACTTTGCTCGGGCACTTCAGAATGACCATGACAACATTTTAGATGCTGTGCAACTAAATCGGTCCGCTGGTTAGTCAGGTTATGCTGTCCCATAGTCACATGACTTTTTTGAACGCTCATGGGGGATTTATTCGCAAAATGCATTTCCATCTCCCATTATTTGCATTAACCCTTTTTCGCACAAGTCAAAAACCACCTCAAGCGAGCGTAAAAACTTTTTTGCGAATTAAGGGATTTCTTTTCAAAATTTGGCGTTTCCATCACTCGTTTCTCATACGATACTTCAAATTGCGCATTAAAACAGGGTGATGGAAACATAGCTACAGTCACTCTTTTGTTTAGTTGTGTTTCCCTTCGCCATTCTACCCGTGTTTGAAGTTTGTTCATTAAACGAAGAGAGTTTTGAATTGCACCTCCTGTCTTCATCTTCCTTCCGACAACACAAGCGTGACAACATTACAATAGAAAAATATTTTATTTTTTAATTTTACAATAATAAAGATTTACTGCATTTTTGGTCAAATGCAGCTTTGAGTATGACTTAAAAAACAGGCTTAACTGTTGAAATAATTAATTAATTGCTTGTTTTAAACTTTTGTCCAGTATGCATTTTTTTTTTTTAAAGTAATGATATTCGTAATATTGATTACTTAATATTGTAGAAACTAAGCCCTAGAGAGTACAGTTATCCTTAACAAAATTAAAAGGAAGCATTTCTTCTGGGTTAAGCCATCAAATTAGACAGACCTTGAACATCAGTTAACTGTTTAATGTTTGACATTCATGAGTCACTTTCAACAGGTGTCACTGTCAGCACTCAAATGCGAGTCAGTCACATTAGCAGGACACATTCAATTTCTGTCTGGTGATTGTATTCATGCTCTGGTGGTATGATTAATGGCTGGTTCTTCTGCACTGTAGTGACACTTCAAGGATAGAAGTCCATTACTCATCCCTTTAAATCTTTTCAAATAAAATTAAGTCAATGCTCAGGACATGAGGTTCAACCAGCAGAAAGGCAAAGGAGGAGCTTTCATTACCCAGTGACCTTTGCAGCCGTGCATATAAATACAGTGTCATTATCTCATTCGCCGGTGTGGGCTGGAAACGCAGAGCTGCTCGTACTGTAATCATCGGTGTTTGAGCGGGACCCTAATGAGGACGGTCACTTCCTGTCCTTGTTCCGCAGCACACTTTTCCTTTCAAGGTCGCTTCCGAGAAGTGGATTTTAAAAGTAAGAATTATCCGACTTTAATTCCAGTCATTAAATTTAGAAATTTAAATTTATTAAATCTCTGCCTGAGAGAGACAGAGATTGAGCCGCTCCACGTCTCCATGGTGATTCACAACAAAACCGGAATGATGAATCTGGTATTTCAGTGGGGCTTCCAGGGTCATCAAAAAAAACTTTCTTCCCAGACATCAAAACAAAAACGAACTTGCCACACAAACACACACATGCACAAAACACAGCCTCAAGAAATTCACAAACGCATGCCAGTCATAAGGCCGTCCTCTTATAATTTTTTTGCAAAACTTGCTGCGATCTGTAGATGTGTAACCTTGTGAGAATAAAATATGAGTGCGCTCCGGGCTCAACAATAAGGATTTCGGTCAGGTCAGTGGAGGCAAACATGAAAAAAATTGTCTATTTTTTTAACAACATTTTGAAAGTTATCCTAAATTCAAGCTTGAAATGTAAATAATATTTTACAGTTCTTTAATTCAAATCCTGGAGTTAAAAAAACATAATGAACAGTTTCAAGAAACCATTTTACAGCTATTTTATGCTTGACACAGTCTGCTAAAACACAGCATCCATGGTGGCAAACAATGCCTAAAAATGTGTTATTAACAGAAATAAAACATAAAAATGAACATTACTGAAAAATACTAGTAAACTAAACAAAATGTAACAATAAATTATCCAGCTAAAATGTATTTCTATACAGGACACTTGGCATGTAATTGTTTTTAAACATTTAAAAAAAAATTTTTTTAAATCTTTATTAAAATTAATTTTTTTTTAGAAAATACGAAGATGCACACACACACACACACACACACACACACACACAAATATTTTAGAAAAAGTAAATAATTATTTTTGGATTTTAACTATTATGACACATAGACTGTTTCGTCTCTTTGGTATTGTCAGCATTCTTGAAATAAAAAAGAATAAAATAAAACCTCAAAACCCTTCAGAGTCAGACAGTGTTGTGTCTCTGTCCTTCAGGTTAAGCTGTGTGTCAGAGACTCCCAGCAGCACACACCTCTCTCTGACACACTCCTGTCCCCTACGGTGATGTAAGCATACAGGATCCCAATTCAAAGTCACCTCAAACACCCCTCAGTGTCCTCACTCACCTGCTGTCAGGACTCGTCCTGTCATGTAAAAACACTTATCGTTATTCACTGAAAATCTTGTCCTCATGTCTCAAAGCTTATTCGTATCCACATTTATTCAGATATGCCGTGGCATGAGGTTTGACGTCAGTGATGCCATTGTTGTTGGTTCTTTTGTGTCTGCACTGATAGTGATGTGAATGATTTGAGAGGAAGATTTTCAGTGAGTAAAGAATTACACTATGGTCTTTTTTTTTCTCACATCTTACAGACCCCAAACTTTTAAACAGTAATGTGTATATAATCAATTTATAAGTGCAATATATGCGCTTTTATGAGCGTATTGAAGGCAATATTGTAACATCACTCAATGTTCGACTGACTATGACGTGGGCTAAAAAGTGATTCCAGCACTCCTGTGTTCCCTTGAATGTACTGTCACCGGCTCCAACTAAAGCTCATGAGTCTGTGACAACTGCAGCAACCATGCAGCGAAACATTAAAAGCTACAAATTTCAACAGCAACATCGCTGTTCATTTTAACACCCACTAATGAAAAGGCCATTCCTGAACACCAATTGAAAACGCTTCCTCTGTATAACTGACACCCCTGCTGCAAGCTTTGTTTCCCTTTGGAGGAAAGTGACGGAACCAAAATTGGCCACAAAAAAAAGTGAGGCTGTAAAGCTGTTTGTGAAGTTTGGCAGATGTAACAGACAAATTAACACATTTTAAAACTACTTTTACAAACTAACTACATTCAGACGTCTTTGAAACTTTTGCCACTGTGTTCTAGAGTTACTTACAACCAATAAAGTCTTTTAATAACACGTCCACACTGCATATAGAGACTCAAAAACCCACAAAACATCTTTGTGTTTTACAGTCTGTGGATGATAAACATTTACAGGCATTCAGCGCATATCCAGCCCCTGGCGTACGCTGCCACTCTGAATAAACCAAACCTCAGGCAGCGAATAACCTTGTTTATGTAATTTATAAGGTAATAAGAGACGTGTCTTTGCTATACTGTAATGGCCATGCGCTTCCCTCCAGCTGTAAAAGTTGCAGAAGCGTGCTGGGCTGCATTCTAAAGCCCAATAAATATTTCCACTCTGTGATGAAAGCACAAAAAATCATTTCCAGATTCACCACGGTGTCAAAATTTCTGTGTCGTTGTGTGTAATTTCATTTCGGAGTCGTCTAGCGAGCGACAGACCGAGAGAGAGGCCGGTCTCCAGATGGTAAACGTAAAACGGCTCTGTCAGATCAATCAAATAAAGATACAGAGAGAGAGAGAGTGACAGCGCAGAACAAACCGATTATCCACAACAGCAGACTACATGTTAATGGAGGGACATGTAAACAGGTACGCTAGCGGGAGACTAAACTCTCATACACAGTAATATAACAATACAGTATATAAATACTTTAGATGAAGAAATTCAAAAGAGACCAGGGATGAAATCATGCATTCAAATGAATTAACGTACTAACTAGTCTTAACTCTAGCTAACCTTAAGCAACTGCTCCCAAACTTTTAGTCATATGTAACACCTATCCTTGCCAGGGCCATAATTTGCTAGTGTTTACATTGGAATACATTAAAAAAGCATTGTATTATAAATAATACACATTTATAATACAACTTAATTTATTAGAATTGAATATAAATAAAATATTTAAAAAAAGTTAATTAATATTTAATTGCATTAATATTTAAACATTTAAACAATAATAAATAATACATATTTTCCTTTTTAACATTCATCATTGTATATATACAAAAGTTTGGGGTCAGTATGTTTTTAAATAAGTTTGTTATTACCACAAAGGCTGCATTTATTTGATCAAAAATACAGTGAAAAATGTAATATTGTGAATTATTATTATAATTTAAATAACTGTTTTCTGTGTTAATATATTTTAAAATTGAATTTATTCCTGTAATGTCAAAGCTGAATTTCAGCATCAGTCTTCAGTGTCACTTGATCTTTTAGAAATTATTATAATATGCTGATTTGCTGCTCAAGAAGCATGTATTATTATTATCAATGTTGAAAACGGTTGCTTTGCTTAATAGGATTCTTTGATGAATAGAAAGTTCAAAAGAACACCATTTATTTGAAATCTTTAAACTCTTTTATAACGTTATAAATGTGTTTACTGTCTCTTTTGATCAATTTAATGCATCCTTGCCAGATAAAAGTTTTTTTTTTTTTTTTTAATGTTACTGACCCCAAACAATATTGCATTCAATTAATCATCTCAAAGTTGCACAGCCCTGACTTGACCTTGAATATGCAGTACTGGCCCCACATTTCATTTAAGACACATTTCAAATATCTAACTTGTAATAATCCATAAATATTCTAATACCTAACCATAACAACTCCCCACTCAAACCTTGCGTTATTCTGTGGTTTTATTATTTATTTTAAAATCATATAAAAATGGAGTACAAAATATAATTTAAGAATGAGTCAGAGATCACAGAAGTGTATTTCATTTGGGCTTTGTGCACTTACTGGAGGGTCCTGATCTTCTGCAAGCACAGTTGTGATGACTGTCCCTTTCTCTGCATTTGGAGCCACCAGCCCTTTATAAAGTGCCTGTCTGAAGACCGGGGAGAAGTCATTCACATCCTGAAAGAACACATAGACAGAAACATGGATGAAAGATGTATTAATAACACTCATTAAAGCAGGACTGAGGTAAGCAAGGCCCGCTGGCAAAGTGATTCTGTTCTGTCTGCTGTCTCCACTTTAGTGAGGAGTGACATAATGATACATAGAGTATTAATTAGCTTATGGACGCTGCTGTCTATCCCCACCGACCACTACCACTATCAAAGAGCACTTTACATGTTCTTTCAAGGTGTTTTAAAGTCAACATGAAATCAAACATTACTTTATTATACACTATGCACATAATGTAAAATAGGCTGCAAAAACAGTGTAATGACTTATAGTTTGTCCATGTAATATTTCAAATTTTTACATATAAAAAAAATAAGTAGTACTTTTGACACAAGTATGTTTAAAATGATGCACACTCACTGAGCTTACTTAGGTTTTTACATATATACACTGTTATATACACACGTAGTACACATAGGTTTTGTGTGTGTGTGTGTGTGTGTGTGTGTGTGTATAGATAGATGGATAGATGTATATATATAAACCTAAATACTAATACTAAAAACAATGAATAAAATGACTAAATGAATGAATAAAAATGACAAAAGCACATAATATTACTGTAAATTAAGTCAAAATAAAAAAAACTGAACATATAAAAATAGAAGCTAATGCAAATTATTGATTTATTGTATGTAATTCATTTTTACTATATTTTTTATCAAATAAATGCAGCCTAAGTGAGCATAAGACAGAAAAATGTAAAGAATATGAATTATTCCAAATATTAGTGTGTGTGTGTGTGTGTGTTTATTTTAGCTTTATTTACAGTAATATTATGTGCTTTTATCATTTTTATTCATTTTTGGTTTTTAATATTTTTATTTATGTATATATATATATATATATATATATATATATACATACATACATACATACATACATACATATATATATGTATATATTCATACACACAAGAATGTCTATATATGCAATCTATCTATCTATCTATCTATCTATCTATCTATCTATACACACACAAATACACACACTATGTGTACAACGTGTGTGTATACAAAACAGTGTACACAGCCTAACAGCAATGAAAATGAAACCTCAGTTAGTATATATATATATATACACCAACTGTTAACATTGCCATGTATGAGGTTTCATTTTCATTGCTGTTAGGCAAGCTAGGTTTTGGAACCGAACCTCTGAGAGACATGAAATTTCAGTAGTATGCTTCAGAGGGAAGCTGCTCCTCATTGGGAGTTACCCACCTGAAATGCACATCGATACACCCTAACCTTTCACCTCAGCATGAGCTCAAGTGGCTGAAACTACAGCAGAGGAGATGTGGATCTATATGCTGCAAGCTGCTCTTCTCTGAGTCAAGGGGACGAGGGCTACAGACACACACAAGATCGAAACAACCCTCCAACTATTCAGAGGGGTCAAGTGACCCTTTCTCAATGTTCTTAGGGGTCTTGGCCACAGATGGATATGCCCACACACAGCTACACTTTGCCTGATAGTCAGGAGAAAAGTATCTTTCCCTGCAAGACCTTCGAAATCTTCCATAAGCCCAGCTATGATGACTCTACCCTGACATTAATAATATTGCCTTCACCTCAGCTCAAGCATCATTACAATTTGTTACACCATATCCATTACAGCAAAACTAACAGGGTGCAAACTTTGCTAAGTTGAAGGTAAAGATCACTGCGAAACGCAAGAAACTCAAGATTCAAGGCACATCTGAAGAGAGCAGCAGCAAAACCACAATTCACCGCTTTGTTTTTCACATCACAACAAAACACTTGCCGCAAAGATCATGAAAATCTCTGGGGGTTTAATTTCATCTCATAAGAAATAAGTCACCGTGATCTATAAACACACACTTTAATAAGAGAAACAATCTTTGAACCCAAAATCTATGTGCCACATACTGCTGATAACTTCCATGAATTATTAGGTCAAAAAAGCTTATTATTTGATCTCTAAAACGGTCTAATAATAGAAAATAAAATTGAAATAAGCCACGAGAGGCCATGCAGATCAGTCAATCAGAATTTAAAAGTCAAAATTATCCATTATTTAAGCACTGTTTCTGAAAGCATGCAAAAAGCTGTTCTTGAGTAACAACTTACGTTTCTTATGGGCTGCATTAAAATTATTTAATATGTTATCATGAACTAACAATAACAGAATTTTTATATCTAGTTATTGATTATTTAAATGCTGAGATTCTAACCTAATAAAAAAAAACTATGAAAAACATTTGTGTTAATTGAAATTAAACCGAAAATAATTCAAATATAAATATTAGATAAAAAAAAAAAAACCTAAACGAAACTTAGAAAAAATAGAAAGCACTAAAATTACTTACTGGAAATATATAACTAAAAAGAACTATAAAACTAAAATAAAAATAAATGCAACCTAAATGCTACTAGTAAAAAAATGACAAAAGCACATAACAAAATGACTAAAATTATTTGAATGAAATTGAAAATATAAAAATAAAAGTATATTAAAAATTATAATACTAAATAAATAATACTAAAATAACATTGACTATGAAATACAAAATGTAAATAATTAATTGCATTTAACATTAAATTGTAATCATAATTATTTATACACTGAATCCCTAAATTAATGTCCAAAAACACAAAAGAAGCACATCAGATCTTCTTTATGCACCAAGAGCTTGTAACACTCCAAAGAGAAAGGAAAAATTGAAATCGCATCATATGACCCCTTTAAATTTGTTAAATGGCATCTTTTGAACTTAAACTTAAGAAGCACAGATTATTCTGATAAATGCAAGCGACCCTGCAGTGAGGTGGGTCGACGCTCATTTGCATGTATTTGCTCTGGACTTCCCACAGTTTGGCAAGTACGGACTGGAGTGATCAAAGGAAGCAAAACTGATTTAATGAGCCATTGGCGGCCGCTTGCAGGACTTGTGTGGAACGACCTTGTTTGGGGTCTGTCGCTCTCTCTAGCCAAAACACAAAAAGGTGTGATTCGAGTCTGTGTGTTTTTTCAGGCATTTACTGATGTTACCTACAAAAATAAAGTTCATTTTCCCTGCATTAGTTTAATTATAACATTGCATATTGGTTGCTCACAATGATAACATAATGTTTACTTCCAAAATTATTACATTCTGAACATTCTCAGAAAAAAATAGTACAAAAGTTGTCACTGGAGCAGTACCTAACTAATATTCACCTTTTAGGTACTAATATGCGCCCTTTAGGGGTAAATAAGGTACAAAGATGTACCTTTTAAAAGGGTACCGCCCCACAGCTTTTGTACCTTTTTTCTGAGAGTGTTTCCTGAGAGTATTCATTTTTAGTCTGTGTTAACTATTGCGTTCACTAATGCTAATGCATACACCCTCGCTGAAAACCACAACATTTCTATCAGATTTACATAATTAAAAATGGAACTTTTTACATGAAGTTCAAGTTCATTTTTCATCACTCGCTCGCACTCGCTCCAGCTGCTGTAAACTTGAGGAGGCTAATCCTTCTGTTCTGATCCCCCGGCTAATCTTCGGAGGCGATGGAGAGCGCTCGCGTTAAAATCCTCACATAATTGCAGTCACAAAGCTAATGAGTCATTCAGGCCTGGAATGGCTGTGCCAGGCTAGCATCAGAACCTAGCTTTGTCTGTCACTCCTGTCACCGTCAACCAGAAATATCACAACGGGAAAGCAGGCGAATGCAGGCGAGGATCCAGTAAACAACGCCCACAATCCTGCCAACACAGAGGTTTCTCTTTCAAGACTAATTGAATTCAGAGATCAAATCTTTTGTAGGCATTACTGGAACAGTCAGCGGAGCTTCTGCGAGAAGCGTTAGCACGTAGACACTGTGGACGAGCTTTGAAAGATCTAATCCAATCACCTTCACTAGACCTGATGAAAATTGGCTTCCTTCCCCCAAGTTCAAACCATTTGCGACTGGAACCTGCAGAACTCTCAGGAAGAGAGTTTCTCGTGCTGCCACTGAGACTGGTGTGATAAAACAGAGTTTTTTAAAGCTGATGAGCGCTCTTAGCGGCCCTACCGTGATTCTAACGATGACTGTGGCCGTTCCAGGAGGAAGGACTCCTCCGTGATCTAACGCCTCCACTTCAAACGTGTAGGTGCTGTTGCCTGCTGCCAAGTCCTCAAAGTCTAGCACCTGCAGGACTGATACGGCGCCGGTCAGACGGTTCACGGCGAAGAGCTGCCGAGCCGCTTCTGTTTTTATTCTGTAGGTCACGTTAGAGACGAGATCGGCATCCTCCGCCTGAGAGACACAGAGGAAAGAGTACAGAGAGAATAAAAGTTAAAAAAGAGAATTAATGATCCCACACTTTGCCAGGTACTGCAGGGATAAAGCAGCCTAAAAAGTTTCGTAAAGGGACAGCAAACCTGAAAATTAAAATGCCATCATCATATTCTCAACCCTTGTGTTTCTTCAAATCTGGAACACAGAAGGTTGTATGTTTATATCCATATAACAAAAGTCCAATGCTTTTCTTCCACAGAAGAAAGAAAGACATACAGGTTTGGAATGACAACAAAATAAGGGTAAATATAGTTGGTCAGGACCATTGCTGATTGGACCATCTCAGCTGACCACTGGCCGATCAGATGACATGAGAGATCTTAAATGGTGGCCTCATGGACAACATGAAATGCTGTTCACAACTCATTTCACTTCTGTAACCAGGCTTATTTTTGAGTGAAAATGAAAATTGAACTTAAAAAAATGATTTGGGAATTGTCTGGATTGTGGAATGTTGCTGTTACATACCAGAATTGAGGCAAGTAATACAAGTTAGATTTTTTGATGTTTTATCGGCAAGAGTATATATATAAAAAAAATTAATTACAGCTATGGCTTTTGTATGTGCAAACCTATTTAGTATTTTTTTTTTTGATTAAGACTTAAAGTCCAACAATAATCTGAATCAACTCCTCTGTAATATTGTATTATTGTTGAATATTTAAGTTTTAATAAATAAAAAAAAATACTAAATAGGTTTGCACATCCAAAACCCAAAGCTGTAATTTCAGTGTGTGGACATCTATCTAGTCTTGCCAATAAAAAAGTAATTGAATAAAATAAATTAAAAAAATAAACAGATTAATAAACAGAACTATTTGCAATAATGTGCACTGCCGAATTATACACAATTAGACCATAAACATGCACTAAGCAAGTAAAAATGGGCCAATTTTGATTTCATTGATCGCACTGCATTTCATCTGATTTAATGTCACTGCATTAGATGACAAGATATTTAGTCCAAACTATACTGGGCATTTTTCCAAATGCATTATGACTTTTCAACATCATGGTGTGAAATGTTTTACTTGAAAAGTGTGTTTGAAATATCCTTTTTTTTTGGTATTTTGTTATACAGTATAGTGCACTGACATTTCTACATTTCTAAGTGTGCCTCAGGTGTCCAGATATATTTTGGGGCCACTGCACATGTTAAGCACACATAGTCATAGTTGCGTTCCACGTGCGTGTGCATCTGAAGCTGATTAGGAGTGAAAGCTAACAGACAGCAGGTGAGAGGCGCTCTGAGCAGCTCTGTGTCTCTGTGGGTGTGGGAACCTTTCAGGTGTCTTTCTTTGATGTGGGAGGCACAAGGAATTAAATTCTACACTGATCTCAAAGGTTTCAGAAGTATATAAATAAAGCTCAGGACCCCCAGAGAGAAGCAGCACAGGGAATCTGATTAGTTGATCAGCCCCGGACCAGATTCTGTCACTAGGACCCACGGCGCTCTGACACCAGCCAGTGCCGTGGGGACCCAAAGGTGTCAGACACACTGAGATAAAAATAAAGCAGCAAGATCACTGTCTTCAAACAGTGTCACTCATTTGCCCCTCATCCACCGACCGCACACACACACGCACACAACCTTATTTTTCCTTTAATCTGAATCCAAAACGGGAATTCACTTTTTTTCAATTGTGCCTGCTGATAGTGTTGTGTATCTGAACATATTGTTTTAGGCCAAATTACACACATACTGTATATCTGGCCACATCTACACACATATGTCGTTAAAACAATACGTGTTTAATATATACATACATTAACAGTCAAAAGTTGATTTGGTGCTCAATTATCAATGGTACTAAATTATTAATATTATCAATTTCGAAAACATTTTTTTTGCCACTTAATATTATTGTGGAAACCAGTATGCATGTATTTATTTGATTGACTGATTGATTGTTTGACTGATTTTGTGATGGAAAAAAAAAGTTTAAAAGAACAGCATTTATTTGGAATATTTTATAACATTATAAACATCTTTGTCACTTTTATTTATTTATTTACTTAAATTTGACTTACCCCAGACTTTTGAATGGTAACGTATCAAGATTTCCACAAAAATATTAAGCAACAAAAACTTATTTTTAACGTTTTTAACGTAATTAACGTTTTAATTATTGATAATGATAAGAAATATTTCTTAAGCATCAAATCAGCATATCAGAGTGATTTCTGAAGGATCGTGTGACAATAAATGAAGATTAGAGATTATGATGCTGAAAATTCATATCACAGGAATAAATTGCATTTTAAAATATATACAATAGGAAACAGCTATTTAAAATTTTTAACAATATTACTGTTTTTCCCCCCTGTATTTTTTGATCAAATAAATGCAGCCCTATTAAGCAAAGAGATCTTTTAAGCTTTTGACCAGTAATATTGTAAATATACAATATCTAATAAATAAAATAATAAAAATATAAATTGCCATCATATTGCCACCAGTTTTTATATATTTGTAAAAAACAAAAAAACAACAACAAAAAAAGCAGTTGACCATATCATGCATGATATTTCTTTAAATGCTTTGATGCAACACACATATTTGAGTTACTCAATTACTTCATTTGCATTCTGATAATTAATTTCAGAAACCAGACATTTATTTACTATTATATTACCCTTTTCTTTTAACCTTTTATATTAACCAAATGTACAACTATGGCAAACGGTAACATTTTCAGACCATGAACTAAAACATTAAGACTAACCATAACCATAACTGATATCCAGGCAACACTGTACCCTATTGATATTTACCAGAAGAAAGTTATACAGATTTGAGACGTCATGATGACAGTACTTTCATGTTTGGCTAAACTATCCCTTAAAATTGGACTGCAAATGATCTCCAAATAAGACAGAGTTTTGCACATTAAAGTGGCGTAACAGTTTACTGAGTTCGTCTCTCAGACTTTTTGCACATATTTGTCTCTAGTTTATGTAAAATTCATTGGTGATTGTGTTGTTACGTTGGCGTTCTACTAAAGCTCCCAAGAGCGTGATCGTTTAGAGGCACATTTACCACAAGACAGCATCTCCTGCTTTTCACACTGGGTCTGTCAAGCTTGTCAATATTTATCTAGTTAAATATGCAGCCCGTCAGCAATAAACAGGGAAACGCAGAGACGTTTTCCCCCCACACTCTCAAGGGAAACTAAACACACATAATCAGCCAGTTACTGTCAGGCCAGCAGACACAACACAGATAGACAGACACATAAGTAAACACCTTCCTTTCTAAAAGTCAGGTTAGATGCCCTGGTCAAACGGAGGCAGAAATTTCGCAGTTCATCTTTAACTTTCTCAACAGCTTATGCCACTCAGCAACGTCAAATCGTGAAGTATTCAGATATGAGAGAACTACACAACCAAGCACTTACACTGAGTCTCAGGATGACGGTTCCAGCCGGGGTGTTTTCTGGGACGTTGACGGTGTAGATGGGCTGGGAAAACACAGGGCTGTTGTCATTGATGTCTGTCACCTCCACCAACAGTGTGATGGTGGTCCTGCGAGGGTCCACCGCTCCATCTGACGCCTCCACGATCAGATCGTACCGGCTCCGAGTCTCTCGGTCCAGCGGCACCGCGGTGAAGATGCTGCCCGTGGCGTTTATGGTGAACAGAGATGCAAAGGAGAGCAAACGGTACCGGATCTGACCGTTGAGCCCGGCATCAGGATCGGTGGCCTGAAAACAGAGACATGCACTCATGAATTTGATATTTATAAAGTTTATTCAGCAGTTTTAGTTATTTGAATTAACTTGATTTAAATCATCTTTTGGTTTGCATCCATCAAGTTAGTTTGCCACTGAATCATTCTCACTGAATCAAATCTGAATCACTTTCTCTGTAATGTGTAATATAAATAAATAAATAATAATTAAGATAATAATAAAAAGTTTTGAGTCAGTATGTTTTTTTTTTACATTTACGCACTCCTTTTAAATACGTTTAATCTGTAAAAATGCATTAAATTGATCAGAAGTGACAATAAAGACATGTTATAGAAGATAACGTCTCGGTTACGTATGATAACCCTCGTTCCCTGAAGGCAATTTCGTCGGTCATCCGACGTGACGTCGAGAGTGACCGACTGAAAGGGAACAGATAAATGCTGTTCCTTTGAACTTTCTATTGATCAAATAATTCTCAAAAATATATCACAGTTTCCACAAAAAATATTTATATACTCCATTACGACAACTATATATTGTTATTATGATATAAAGTTACTCAAATCGGGGATATATTTAATTTTGGTTTCACCTTTACCAAGCACCCACAGCACAGCCTCTACAATGGAAAAATAAAATAAAATAAAGAATACTACTACTACTACAGATGATAATAATAATAATAATAATAATAATAATAATAATAATAATTGCAGCCAGTTCTTTAGAGCAAATAAATAAAGACTTGCTGAACTAATCTTAATTCCTGCGTGGTTACAGCGGCTCATTTGTATGTGTGCATGGGAGCAGTGCTCGGCTGTAATGGCTTCAGAGGTCCCTGCTATAATTCCTTCCTGTAGTAATTACAGATGCAGATGGGAAGAATAACTGGGGGGGTTATTAGAGAAGCATGCCTGGTTAGAGACATGAATGACACAGACTCTGGGAGAAGAGAGAGAGAGAGATGAGAGGAGGGACAGGAAGATGATAGGATGAAGGGCCAAAATCCAAATGTGGGCGAATGGAAATAAGTGAAATGAAAAGAGCATGTCTGAGCCTTGAGAAATTACAGCCACATCTGAGCGCTGAGGAATGAAAGTGCTGCCCGTGGCCCTCTCACCAGCAGTACGTCCTGACAGCACACTTACATGGCATCTGCTCGCCTCAATAATTAACTAATGGAATGAATATGTAAACAGAGCGATAAATAAACAAACAACACTACACAATACATTAATAAAAACCTGTTTCCTAATGTCACTGTTGACTGTTATTCCATCAAACATTTCACCAATTATTATAAGTTTTGATTCACCTTTTTTTGCCTTCGCTATTCATTTTAAATGACAAATGAATCTTTAAAAGTATATTTAGTTTATTTACAGTCAAACACTAATGCTCATAAAAGATGCATGTATAATAAATATGAAAGAATTCGCAAAATGTCGTTTAAAATATTAGGTGGAATATAGCACATCAAATACTTATTACATTATATAACCAGAATTATATTCACTGAGAAGTGAGAATGATTCAGTTGCAACCTTCATAGATTGCAAACCAAAAGATGATTTTGCTGCTTATTATTTTTGTTAAAAACAATCATACCTTTTTTTCAGGAATCTTTGATCAACAGAAAGTCCAAAGAACAGCATTTATTTGAAATGTATTGAACTGTAATGCATAACTTGCATATAATATAATATAATATAATATAATATAATATAATATAATATAATAGGCAGACAGATTTTGTCCCCAAGGTGAAAAGGTCTATTAAAATGGGTTGTTTTGTAGAATGCTCGAAGCTCTCAGCGTGAATAGTATCTTAAGGCTTTTGGACATGTTAGCCTGTGGCAAACAACATGGCTGTAAGTGTCTGTAGAGCGGGAACACGCTGATGTGCATTTGTGATGTGTGAAGTAAGTGTCCGTATGCGTACGCTTGTTTGTTGTCACAGCACAATAAGAATCCAGGTGTTTTTGATCTCCACGGGGATCTGTGTGTGAATTTGAGAGCAAGGCCTCAAAGTTTGGTGAGCACCTGCTTGTTGTGAACATGGCAGACTACACAGAACATGAGAGGATGATGAAATGAAAAGAAAGATGATGGAAAGTGAGAGAACAGCTCAGAGGGAGGGATCCGACTTGAGCAACATCCAAAAAACTAATTTTTAGCTGTTTAGTTACTTCACAAAAACAATATGATGCCATATGAGGACAGCACACACTAAATCATTTCAATGGCAGTTTTATTCATACTAAACTCATGACTCTGTGATTGAATTTACATTTTACTCAATTTAATTTTAGTTTTAAAAAAACCCTATTTATTCATTAAAACATTCATTCATTAAATATAAACAAATGATAAAATAAAATACAAAATAAAAATGCCATTATTTTATATTGACAGCTTTAAAACCAGCCTAACTAAAACAAAAACTAAACTAAATTGGAAAGACAAAGTAATCATAATAAAATATAAATAAAAATCACAATACATTTTAGTTTATTTAAAAAAATATTAATATGATTTTTTTATGTGGTTTTAAGACACTAAAAAGCAATAACACTACGCTGTGCTGAAAAAATGTAATTCCATTTAATATTTTAATGATACCAGTTTGACATTTACTTTTGCAGCCCTAAAACACTAAAGCTAAAACATAAAGAAATAAAGAAATAAATGAATGAAAACAAAAACTAAACTGGAAAGAGACAATAAAATAAAATCTAAAAGCAATAAAATTTATATTAAAAAGCATTTACGCAACTATTAATTATGTCTAGATGAAGGTTTTTGCACATCATTTAGGGAGGACTTTTTAGTTTGTTTGTGCATATAAACCTACAAAAACATTAAATGAAAAGAAAGACGGTGAAAAAACAAAGAGAACAGTTCATAGGGAAAGATCCAACTTGTACAAAAAACTAAATTTCATTTGTTTAGTTGTTACTTCTGGAAAACAATATCATGCCACATGAGGTCAACCCGCACTAAATGATTTCAGTCGCAATTTTATTGATGCACAAAGGCACTGTCGCATCATCTTATGCCTGTCAATCACATCGGCACCGAACTCAGTGATCAAGACATCACAGAGCAACAAATGAGCGGTAAAGAGACACGTGATGACAACACAGCATTGTGAATGAAAGCCTGACACATCTTTCATTGATTATCTTTCTAACCAACCAAAGCATGATTAATCAAACACGCTAATTAAAAATCCAACCGCTTGGCAGGGCGGAACAGAAGCAGTCATCAGGGACTGACTGTAAGGTGACTAATGACTCTAATTTACCATGACTTAATTAGAGAACAATACAAAGTGATGTCTGAAGATCTGTGTGGCATGACAGTTGAAGGGGCGGCATGTGGGAACCCTTACGAAACTCACCAAAATAAAGATACGTCATCGATATGTTTTGTCATGGAACTTACCCTAACTTGACCCACGAACACATTGGCCTCTTCCTCCCTCACGGTCAGGTTTCTGAGTAGAGTGAGGTCGAAGCTGGGGTCGTTGTCATTAACGTCTGTGATGACAATGCTGACAGTGGCCGTGGAAATCTACAAATAAGGACAGATTAATTAAATATCATCAGGAATTCATTAAATATATAAGAATGACAAGTTATTGGATCAATATTCTTGTTGGTCCTAAACAAAATGATTTTACTATCTTATAAGTGATTTTTGAGGTTGGTAAGGGTAATAAATCTTTGGTAAGAATATCGCTGAATGGCAACAAAGAATGATTATGATTATGGCAGTGTTAACAAAAATGAACCAAAATCCAAATAAAAATTAACAGGAAACTAAAGCTAAACTAACATATACTTTCATGACTCCAAATTTAAAATAAAATGTATTTCATTCAAATTCATTTTAGTTTATTCATAATAATAATAATAATAATAATAATATAATAATACAATTTATTTATTTATTTCTGTTTGGCAAATGGCATATTGTAAAGCTTTACAACCCACCTGACTAAAAACAAAAAAACTAAATTAAATTAGAAAGCCAATTTGTTAATAAAATAGAAATAAAAACTAAAATAAAGCTAGCTAATTAATTTGAGTTACATTAAAAAATATATTATGTTTTAATGTTTAGTCTAATGTTCAAGGAACTAAAAAGCAACAACACTAGACTGTGCTGAGAAATAAAATGCCATTAAATATTTTTAATGATACTAGTTCCAGCATTCACTTCTGCAGCCCTAAAACACTAAAACCTAAATATTTTTCTATAAAAATAAAATAAAAAATACTACTAATAATATAATAATAAAACTAATTTGGAAAGAGAATAAAATAGAAATACTAAATTAAAAAATAAAAGCATTTATGCTTTAATACTCATATGAAGGTCTTTGCAGAATTTTTTTGGGGGGAATTGTTTGTTTGTGCCTATAAACCTACAAAAAGCACAGTCCTGACAGTTCTACTGAACCCTGGAGTTCAGTGTGCACTTGCTGTCAAACCCTGAACCTTTCACAGCATTCACTCTGACATTCACCATGTGCTGTCTGTCAGTCTTATTTGTTGCCTTTTTAAATATTGAAAATGACTTCACTGGAAAAAAATAAAATAGTGTCACCATTTAGTTTCTGACTCTATTCCAGAAACACATTTGCAGAGATGTAATTAAATCATACGCAATTGAGTTCCTGGGGCTTAAAAGTTTAATAGCACACAGTGATGAATATAAATTCAACCGATCAGTCAAGATCAGCATGTAGAGTTTAAATCCCAGTGGGATGTGCATGAAAAATTAATTCACCAAAAAAAGGAAGAAAAAAAAAAAACTTCTGGAAAGGGAATTATGTAGTCATAGATGGAGTTGTTGTTTGGCAAAAACATGTTCAGGTGCACTACAATTTATTTTCCTACAATTCTGTCAAGAGGCATCAACACCATCAAACACACACACACACAAACACACACAAACACAGACTGAAGGACAAGTGCAATACGAATGTGCTGAACCCCACTGAAGCCTGTTTGATCTCAAGAATGTGAACTGAATATTACATTAGATATCATTATCATGCTTTAAGGTAAATTACATTGATTAATTAACCGCTTTGCACTTTCTATGACCATGATCTGAAATGTAAATGATTTAATGGACTTGTTTGACCAGATGAAAGTCATTTTGCCCAGTCATGTTGCGCAGGGAAAGATGAAGGCACGTCCTTATGTCTCAAAATGCTTTTAACGTGCCTGTCTTCCTTGAAAACTCCCTCTTCATCGGCTCTACAGATATCAGCCTGTGTTTGATAAATGAGCTTCATGCAGTCATTTAGCACTCCAGCGTTTCTCTGTTTGCTGAAGTTCTCTCATTAGAGAAGCTAAGCTGATATTACAAGTAAATGTTCTTTTAAAAAGGTGAATGTGTTTAAACAAGATGAGTCTCATTACAGAACATCCTTGAGGAGTTTTTAACAGTAATGACTATGCAAAAGGAAAAAAACGAATGAATACCAAATTATATAGAAGTACAGAGTTTTTTCCAGCTTTGTTTGTGGTTGCTTTTGTGAAAATATGCATTTAAAGCAACACGAGAATGTGGCATAAAACATATATGAAAAATATGAAAAGAGGTTGTGAAGAGATCAGACGTTTGAATCAGAGCAGCTGTCAGTCAGTGTTATAGTGCTGATTTTGTGGGATGGGTGCAGTCTCACCCCTCCTGGGTGGCCATCAGATGCCGTGACGATGAGGCGATACTGGTCAATAGTCTCTCTGTCCAGAGGTTTGGCCAGCAGCAGAAGACCTATACTGAACAGACACATAACACTTTCTTTAAATTTTCTATTTAAATATTTCTTCTCATAATCTTAAGCTTTATTTTCTGGCATTTAAAAAAGTACACACAGAGACAAACAGGGAAGGGACGTAGAGAGAAAAAAATAAAATGTATATAATTTTTTTTAGCTGCACACCCTCAGAAACTAACTACTGCCTTGATCAATATAAGCAAAGAACATCATTGTACATAATATTACTGTATTGTTTTTCTTCATTATGCCTTGATAAATGTCGGTTTTTATGATATAGTATTTTTTATCTTGATTGTATTCATTCATACATATTTTTTTCTTGATTTTGTTCATACTAGCACCTTAATAAAGTTTTTATTGTTATTGTTGTTATTGTCATTGTCATTATTCTGTATAATTCTTTGGCAATACTGTATCTAAACACAATCATGTCAATAAATTACTTTAAATTGAACTGAAATTGAATGGACAAAAAATAAATTACAGTCAGCAAAAAAACTAATTATGTTTAGTCTATATTGAGGACAGTGATGAATCTTGTCAACTAAATTAAATGAGCATTTTACCCAAACTTTAAATTTCTGTCATTTACTCTTTATGTTGTTTCAAACCTCCTTGATTCTTTTCAGAGGGAGCTTTTATGTAGGGTGTGGCTCTTTTTCATAAAATGTATGTGGATGGTGAAACATGGTGCTTCAAGATGGTGTCTCATAACCCAATCATGATGCACCAAATCTGAATATGCTAATATTCAAATAGCACAAATGAGATTTGAGAGCAAAAGTATCAATGCACAACATCTGTTCCACATACAAATCTATTGCAGCTATTCAGAGTTATGAATCATACAGACTATTTTTATGACACTTTAACATGCTTTTAGTCATTTTTTTTATCATGACAGCTCTTCCACTTTCATTATATAGAAAAAAAATCAGCATAAACTAAATTTTAGAATAACATGAGGGTGAGTAAATGATGACAGAATTTTCAATTGAACCATCTGTTTAATACTGTGATTATTTTCATAATGATGAGGTAGAACACGTACTCAGAACACAGAATGACCTGTACGATCAGAAACTGTGCCTTGGAAATTGTATTCAGGATAAAATTTTTGGGTGTGTTTGTGTCGTGACCATTATTTGCATAATTCCTTTGTTGAATCAGCTGCTAAAACAATGCAGATAGTAAATAAACATTGGTATCTACATGTGCAATTCAACAACCAATATCTGTGATCATCCACGCTGAACCACCGGCCACAGGGATGCCATTATCATTTGTAGACCAATAGGATTTCTGCGAATCATCAGGCTCATCCTACAGTGAGCTCACACGTGTGTGTGGGGGAAGCGGTGGATGAGGATGGACAGACAAGATCCTGTTAACATTGCAGTCACACACAGCAGAAGAAGCAGGCTGCTGTGCTGCTTGTTCATGTTGTGTGTGTGTGTGTGTGTGAGTGTGTGTGTGTGTAGAATTATATTCCTCTTCAGCTGACCCCTACAAATACGATATTGAACTTGTCCTCACACACACAGCAGAAGAAGCAGGCTGCTGTGCTGCTTGCTCATGTTTGTGTGTGTGTGTGTGTGTGTGTAGAATTATATTCCTCCTCAGCTGACCTCTACAAAAGCGATATTGAACGTGTCCTCTATGAGGCAAGATGAGATGAGATACGAAGATGAGATGAGACAAGATACGAAGATGAGAGGAGATGAGACGAGATGAGGCAAGATGGCAAGGCAATTTAAAAAGTCAGAAGAGGAAACCAAATGAGAACTAACACAATAAAAAGAGAAGAGAAATGACACAACATAAGAAAGATGACGTGTAGCGAGAAGAGCAGAGGAGAGGAGAGGAGAGGAGAAGAGAAGAGAAGAGAAGAAGAAGAGAAGAGAAGAGAAGAGAAGAGAAGAGAAGAGAAGAGAAGAGAAGAGAAGAGAAGAGAAGAGAAGAGAAGACACCAGATAAGACCAGATGAAGTGATAATGATGCAGTGAAGCATAAAAAGATAAAAGGTGATACGAGATGTGAAGAGACCCGATGAGATGAGACATGATGAGAAGAGATAAGACCAGACCCGATGAAATTAGACGAGGCAAGGCACAGCAAAGCACGATGAGATGAAGCATGATGAGAAGACACAAAAGCAGAGAACAGACTAGGTGAGGTGAGCCAAAAAAAGAAAATACAGAAAACAAAAGAACAGATGAAGCGAAACAAGAAAAATAAAACAAGATATGTATATAACACTAGCGCTGCCTCTCTGCTCTGATAACTCTCTCTTGTTACTACTAACAACAGTCATAAGTATCATTAATAAACCAACTACATGTTACTATTAAAAAAGCCTTTCAAATTCTCACACATTCTTTCCCAGAAACGTTCACACTGTAAGCTTGTTTGTGCATTTGTCTTGTCTTCATTCCTCCAATGAGGGATTCTCATGCAGAGAGAGGCACAGATGTACGTACTTTATAGACCATATGCCATATATGTACTCGATATTTCTGTCCCTAAACTCACACCATTGGCTGAGTCAATGTTGCTGTTCAAGATGTGCAAACAAATAGAATATTCTGAATTGCAATACAATATCTGTACATTCTTAATTGATGAGTTTTATTTATTAATGAAAACTTACGTCCGTGAAAGGTTGAAGACCTGCTGCGGGTCACCGCTTTGTATCTGGTAGGTGATAGGATCCAGCTCACGGTCTGTAGCCTGTGAAAATACATCAATTCACACTCAGTTTACACTAGTATTTCAGACAAGTACCGGCTGGTGAATCATAAAATCAATGTAACATAAAATCAATTGCAGCATAACAATACACTTAAATGAAAAGGCCAAGTCTGTTTGAAGGACATGATGAACAAATGTAGAATCAGTGACATTTTACAACACATATAAATGTATAACCCTACACCTATTCCAGGATACCTGCTGATATTGATTATGCTGTTTTCTGAGTTTGACAGCTCAATTTGTCTGTGCAGTTGAGTTGTAAAATCATAAAATATTTTAGAATAAATTTATAATTATAAAAATCATTTCATATTATCTTATGAAAAAAGAAATTACTGTATATATGTGGCCATGTTCAGAATGGCTAACTACACACTCCACTTTAGCAGTATCTTTACTGTGCATTCAGTAGTATGCTAATTTTTTGCATGCACAGAATACCCAGATGACCTACTACATTTATCAAAATGTGCAGTATACAAAAGGGCATACTGCGTGGGATACTGCATCCCACAATGCAATGCATTCAACTTGACCTTCTATTTCTAGTGTATCTGCCAACATTTATTTATTTTTTATTCATAATTTGATCAGACTTCAAAGGCTTAAGACCAGGCTTCCAACACCTATTGACCCATGAATTTTTCAAGACTTTTTCAGTCATTCGTGATTACTGGATAAGAATTTCTGCAAATCATTTAATAGAGATTGCACACACAAATAAAAATTAAAAGTCCATTAAGAACAATAATAATGATTTAAAAATGAAGAAAGCATGACTAAAAATATTAAAATATATGATATAAAATATTATTATGTTATTATATAGTTGTTATATTATATTATATAATATATAATATATTTATATTATTTATATATCTATATGATTATTTATTATATAATTATATATTATTATTATTATTATTATTATATGATTAATATAATTATTATTACATTGATTATTACATTAAAAATGTCCATGTCCAGAATGGAGAATTTTAAAATTTCCAGATATTTTTATGACATGTTTTGCATGACCATGTTTAAATACTGTTTAAAAAGTTGGCAGTTTTTAGAGTATATTGTATAGTATACAGTAAACAGTAGGTTAATATTCCATTCCAAGTAAAATCTGTGTGTGTACCTGCAGATTCAGCAGTATGGCTCCTATCCTCATCATACTGCATCCCACAATGCAATGCATTCAACTTGACCTTCTATTTCTAGTGTATCTGCCAACATTTATTTATTTTTTATTCATAATTTGATCAGACTTCAAAGGCTTAAGACCAGGCTTCCAACACCTATTGACCCATGAATTTTTCAAGACTTTTTCAGTCATTCGTGATTACTGGATAAGAATTTCTGCAAATCATTTAATAGAGATTGCACACACAAATAAAAATTAAAAGTCCATTAAGAACAATAATAATGATTTAAAAATGAAGAAAGCATGACTAAAAATATTAAAATATATGATATAAAATATTATTATGTTATTATATAGTTGTTATATTATATTATATAATATATAATATATTTATATATCTATATTATTATTTATTATATAATTATATATTATTATTATTATTATATGATTAATATAATTATTATTACATTGATTATTACATTAAAAATGTCCATGTCCAGAATGGAGAATTTTAAAATTTCCAGATATTTTTATGACATGTTTTGCATGACCATGTTTAAATACTGTTTAAAAAGTTGGCAGTTTTTAGAGTATATTGTATAGCTGACCTCCTCTCTGTGTCAGGAGCGTTGTCTGACGCTCTCACGGTCAGTGCGTAGGAACGGCCGACGGTCAGTGTGACCCCTGGTGCTAACGTGATTCGTCCTGTGCGGTTGTTGATGATGAAATCACCTTGATCTCCAGCCAGGATGGCATATGTGATGAGGCCGTTTAAACCAGCGTCAGCGTCCTGAGCCGTTAGCTGACAGAACAAACAGAGACATTATTGATTTCGCTCCCTTGGTGACGTGGCAAAGGGATCTCATTATAATATTACCGCCCCTTAATCTGTAAGTTTCCACCCACGGTGCTGTCATTGTGTTTTCGCAAGCGATAACAGTGTACCAGCTCTAATGCCATGGCGAAAGTTCTGCCTTTGTCTGCACAGACGAGCACAGAACACTATTTAGATCTAAAATAAACATGCAATTTATTTCCCAGCAGTTTACCTTCGCAGACATAACCGACTGTTTTTAAAAAC